GCATGGTCCGAAGACATAAGGTCCTTGACCGTCGGGGGCATAACCCATTGGACACCGAATAGCTGAAAGATTTGACCCCAAAGATCTTGGGTCATGTTACAATGAATGAAGAGGTGAGGATTTGGCTCTTCCTCGCACTGACACAGGCACATCTGTTGGGAACAAGAATCCTTTTCTTTTGAAGCTGGTCATTTTAAGAACCCTCTGAGACCCCACTATGCAGTTGAAACTCTGCACTTTAGGGGGTGCCATTGTGCACCATACCTTGGATAGTACAGATGGGGGATTAAGAGGGAAAGTGGGAGGTTAGATAAGTCTTTTGTACAAGGAAGCCACCGAGAAGATACCAGAGGAAGTCTTTTTGTTTAAAAATTCTTACGAGAACTTGGCTTTCCCATGAAGGGTTTAATGTCCTTGTATAGTGATAACGAGGGGGCCCTTTATATAGCTCATAATCCATTTGAAAATTGATAAAATCAACATAGAGGTAATTTGCCATTTCTATTTTTTTCTCCTTTTTTTTTTTTTTCTTTTCTTTTCTTTTTTGGTAGTTCATCGGCGAAGGGGCCCTTTTACCCGTGGTAGAAATGAAACTCAAGACATCACGGTTTGGTGCCTCCGCCACCTAACCACCTAGTTGTCATTTCATTTGAGAAAGAGTTGCGATAAGAGAAATATGCCTTCAATGTGTTAACAAAAGACCAACTAGTAGATATTCTTACCAAGTCAGCTAGGAAATCTTGATTGCAAGTGATCTTAAGCAATCTGGGCATGATGACTATTTATATGTTGGCTTGAGGGGGAGTATTATAAATAAGTCCATTATTATTTTATTATTATTCCTTTGCATGTAAGTTCCTCAAAGCCTTACTTGTCCTTTCCCTATAATGAGGTGTATTTTTGTACTTCTTATAATTTATCACTGTAAATGACAATGAGAGGGGCGTGTGGGTGATGTAACCCTAATGTAACAGCCCCTTCTCGGTTCCCTCCTCAACAACAATTTTTTCTTTCTTTCTCCAACTCTTCTATCTCTAAATCTGTTCCTATTTCTCTAGATTTTCTCCTCCTTTTTCCTCTCTCCATATTCCTTGTTTCTACAAATATTTTTTTTTTGAAACGTTAACATTGTATTACTGAGACGTAATGGTTACAAAAATGAGAAGACTAAGAGCCTTTACGGGGTAGCTTTTGGTAAAAAATACATCAGTGAGCCATATGCAAAAAAGGGGCTTATAAAACTCGCCCGTTTACAATGACTTACAGTGTTTCTCCATATTCCGTGTTTCTACATTTTTAACTGCTTGTAATCGATAACATACCCTATTTAGCACTTGGGACTCCTTTTGAAGTTACAAGGTGGCAATCATTGACTAGGGATAATTAGCTTTTGCAAAGGTGTATACTTGGCTCATATAGATTCTTCTTCTTCCTGTGATAAACTTAATCAAATGTTGTCATTACGTGTTTTGGGGCATATCACCTTAACAAAAATTCGTGCTCTTTAACATTATTATTTGCCAATTTTTATATCTTTTCATGTCATGATTAATGGTGTGCTGCCTGTAATATGAGAAGGTTTACTGATGGGCCTTTGTCATAATACTAGGTCTACTCAGTGCTATCATTTTCATTACCTTTGTTGGCTTCTTGTTTTACCATACTAGAAAGATTCTATAGGCCTATTGTAGTGTTTTGGAGCAATGGTTTATTCAGGATTACCGTGTTCCATTTCAAGCTCATCCCCTTGTGATCTCTCCAAAGAGATTCTGCCTTCATTAAGCTGTTGTGGATGTGAGGTCACTTCCTCTTAATAGCTCACTCTGGTTGACATTTCGCTCGACTTGGCATCTTCAGTTTAGGTTATGAGGTGATTATCCTTTGTTTCAATATTTTGTTTCTCGTGTGATTTTTTGATAATGGAAGTGTTTGTTAAACATCGGCACATAACTTATATTTGTTGTTGAGCCTAACCTTATAACCAAAGGGCAATCCTTTGTGACAGTTTACCATGTTTGAAATAATTAGTCCACTTCCACAAACTTTGATGTAGTCTATTTCTACACAAAATATATATTATGGGCTACAGATCGTTTTTAGACTCTGAACCTGATGACATAACGTAGCATTAGAAAGCTTATCTTACTGTCAAATGGTTTCAACAAACACACGGTTTAAACTCTGAGCTGATCTTTAGCCTGTTGTGGAGTTCAAGTGATTCCATATTGGTACTTCACCTTGTTGCTATGATATTTATGCTTTTCTCATGCCCTTAAGGAGAAAAGTGAAATGCTTTTAAAAAATGTGGCCAAGAGATCCACTCAAGTAGATTTGTGTACTTGAAAGTTTATCATCATCATCATCATCCTCATCATTTTAGCTTTTTCCCAATTAATTGGGGTCAGTTACATGAATCCTGGTTCTCCATTTTGCTCTATTAAAGGCCATATCCTCAGTGAGGCCATAAGTTCCCATTTCTTTTCGGACTACTTCCAACCACGTCCTTTTGGGCCTACCCTTTGCCCTTTTTTGAATACTTCCACTTGAACTAACTCGCAACTCCTAACAAGTGTTGTACTTGGTCAGCGCCACACATGGCAAGCCCACCCAAGTCTACTCTCTCATGTTATCGCTTATTGGTGCCACGCTTAAATTCTCTCAAATAGATTCATTTCGAATTCTATCCATTCTTGTCTTGCCACTCATCCATCTTAACATCCTCATCTCCACTACACTCATTATATGAGTATATCGTGTTTTGTCCGCCCAACATTCTGCTCCATAGATAAAAGTTGGTCTCACCACTGCCCTATAGAACTTGCCCTTCAGCCTCATTGGTATGCAGCAATTACATAAAATTCCAGCTGTACATCTCCACTTCACCCACCTAGCTCTAATTCTGTGTGTGATATTTTCCTCGATCTCTCTATTTTCTGGATTATCGACCTAATATATCGATAGTGCGGTCTTTTTTGTGCTTCCTGGCCGTCAATCTTGACTATTTCCTTGTCTGTTATCCTATTATTACTAAACTTGCACTCCATATACTCTGTCTTAGTTTGCCTAATTTTAAAACATTTGGATTTTAGAGCATCCTACAAAGTTCTAGCTTTGTGTTGATGTTGTTTCCAATCAAAACTATGTCATTTGCGAACAACATGCACCACGGTACCTCATCATGTTGGTGCCTAGATAAGTCGCACATAACTAAGACAAAGGTACGTGCTTAATGCTGACCGTTGATGTAGACCTATTGTCTCTGAAAACTCATTCATCTCTCTACTAGTTGTTCGTGTACTAGTTAGCGCTCCATTGTACATATCTATCTCCAAGTTGATTTAGTGTTTAGAGACGTCTTTATTTTTCAACACCCGCCACCAAATCAAATCTTGAAGTACTTTATCATAATCTTTCTCTAAATCAATAAAGACCATGTGGGGGTCTTTTCCCTTCGTCCTAAAGTTCTCAATTAGTAGTCTAAATAGGAAAATAACCTCCGTTGTTGACCTGCCTGGCATAAAACCAAGTTGATTTTCAGATACACTCATTTTATGCCTTAGTCGTTGCTCAATGACTCTCTGCTAGAGCTTCATAGTATGGCTCATACGCTTTATCTTTCGATAATTTGTACAATTTTGTATGTCTCCTTTATTCTTGTAAATAGGTACCACAATATTTTTCCTCCATTCGTCTGGCATTTTCTTTGTTCTCAACACCTTGTTCAACAACTTCGTCAGCCAGTCAATGCCAATTTTCACCATACATTTCCAAACCTCTATTGGGATATTATCTGGTCCTATCTTCATCATTTTCAAAGATTATTTTCCTTTCGATATCTTCATCCTACGAATGTATCCATGACCTCTGCCGTCACTTATACCAATAGTCCCTTCTACCACTATGTTCCCATTGTGTTCATCATTTAATAATTTTTTAAAATAGACTCCACCTTTCGTTGATCTCGTCATCCTTCACCAAGACACTTTGATCCTCACTCTTAGTGCATTTAAAATGGTTTAGATCCCTACTCTTTTTCTCTCTTATTTTTGCTAATTAGAATATATCTTTTTCTCCTTCTCGTATTCCCAGTTTATTGTTATAGATTATCATGTCTTAAGTTTAGCTTTACTTACTATTTGTTTAGCATTTTTATATTCCTTTAAGTTTTGATCGTTTCTATTATACTGCCAAGTTTTATAACATGATCATTTTTCATTAATGGCCTTGTGGGCCTCATCATTCCCCCACCAATTTTCCTTATCGAAGTTTCTTTTCCCTCTAGATTCTCGCAAAACTTCTTTTGCCACTTTCTTGATACATTCAACCATCTCATTACATATTACACTGACATCATGTTCAGAGTTCCATTACCCTTCTTTAACTAATTTATCCCTAAATAAATCTACTTTCTCATTTTTTAAATTCCACCACTTAGTTCTTGGACACCGATTACTTTCACCTCTTCTCCATGTCTTTATGCATACGTCAATGACCATGAGCCTATGTTGGGTAGTCAAGCTCTCTCTTAGGATAACCTTGCAGTCCTTACATGATGGTCGATCTACCTTCTTAACTAGGAAGAAGTCTACCTGGCTGTTATGGGTTCCACTTTTATAAGGTATTAAATGTTCATCTCGCTTTTTAAAGTAAATGTTTGCTATTACTAGGCCGTAGGCCATAGAAAAATCTAGAATAGTCTCACCCATGTATGTGAAAGTTTATGACTTGGGTAAAACCATGACAGCTATAGTTGGATCTAAGGAAATATGATGTCAAAGAACTATCAAAAAGGTACAATTTATGGTAAATAAATGTTGGTTTAGGATATACTTAGTTTGATTTTGAATTGGTTGTTTATCTTGCCTGAAACATAACAAGGTTGCATTGCCGATTCTTGTTCTCATAAGGCCATTCTTTCAAATGTGTAGCTACTCACTTTATTGGTATTTGAGATTCTCGGGATAAAATCTCATCATCTGCGCTTAATGTTACTCTTGCAGTGTGTTGGTCCGAAAGAAGTCAAATATTGTTCAGATGGCCATGGATATCCAAACCCTCGTGAGTTGAATTGCTACACCCCCATTTTTGCGTTCATGTTATAATATTTAAGACAAGGGCATTGTGATTCCCCAAGACGTGTTATTTGGGGTTATACCAGAAGTGGGGTTCATACTTGCATTTTATCTTTGGTTAACAAATGCAATTTATGACATGGACTTACCTTGTGGGTGGTTTCCAATTCTTGATGTGATTGACCATGTCATAAACAAAAAAATTGCACTAGATGTTTATGTATTCTCATGATGGTGGACTTGGAAAATTCCTTGTAATGCTGGCTTAAATTTCCTAAAATCTCAAATGGTTCTCAACTTGTTGAGCATTGGCTATAGTTTTTCCTACCAATAGATGGTAGGTTTAAATTCATCTTTTAAGCCCCGCCACACTTCTCAACAGTGAATAAATTTGTTTCTTTTATAATGACTGTTATAGATGCTTATCTTGTGTAGGAATTGAAAGAAAGTAGGAAATATGAAAGAAACCAATGACCTTTGGAGGAACAAAAGAACAAGAAATGATGGATGCATAGCACACACCAAACACATTCATATTATTTCTTAATTCTTATAGGGAAAATTATCCTGTCTGCATGGTGTGGACAATCTGACGGTGCACAATCACCCAATGGTTGAGATTTCATAAAGCCATATCCAACAACCAATAATTGGTTTCATATTTTATTTAAATAAAATATTTATCTGAATTTTAGGGTGTGGGTTTATTTTATAAATAGAACTAAATAAAAATAATTAAAAAATATGTTAAATAAAATAATGACAAAATACCCTTAACTTTTTATTTATTTATATTTTTATTCAAAATGTTTTTATGATTTTTATTATAAAAATGAGGCTAAATCCAAAGTTTAGATCAGTATCATTTTTAATTTACAAATGATCAATATCTTTTTATCATGAATCTTGAACATATGTTATATTATCATGCTAGGGCGTTCCCCTTAAACAACACGCTGCACTACCCGGGTGCAGTGAGAAATAACTAAGGTTTAGCTAGGGTATTGTTATATTGAAGGTATGACCTTTGATAGAGAAGAATGAAAAGAACAAGATTGATGTAGCTGATCCCAAATAATTGTAACAGGGCTTAAATGATGATGATGATGATTATTTTTAATTCAAAAAAGTAAAAAATGGAATTTAGTTTTAGCCCTTGGATGAGGATGGTTCAATCTGAACCATTAAAAGGTGCTTCTGCACCTTTTTAGCATCCACAACACGTGGACGCAATAGCAACCCGTCTTTTATATACAAGTTACACACTTTAGGCTGTAAGTGAAATTCCATTATACCCTTAGTATCGAGGTTGTCTAGTTCAAACTGGGAACCGGTCAACGGTGGACATTCTAGTTGGGTTTGGCCCCTTGGACCAGATTGTCCATTGGACATGTCATGAACCAGTGGACATGCCAGTTAGTGGTTCGATACCAAACAGATGGGTCCCAATAGCAATGTGAAATTATTTTTTCTGCCTCCTTTATTTTTTTCTTTTTCATTTACCAACTTTTGGAGTTGTTTTGGGTATTTTTAAATTGTTCAGGAGGCCTTTTGGTCTGTTGGATGAAAAGGATGACTTTTGGGGTTCAAGACCTATTTTTAGAGAGAAAACATATATGGCGATTTTCTCTCTCCCTCGCTCTCTACGGAATTACTCTCTAGCCCCTCATTTTTTTCAGTGACTTTAAGTGAAGATTTCGGCCATCAACCTGCCGCAATTAATTTACAAAGTAAGTCTATTAAACCATTTTTTTTTGTTTTATAATTAGAAAAAATAGAATTTTTTTTATTTTTTAAGTTTTTTTGTAAATGATTTTTTCTTTTCAAGTCAATTTGTAAACGATTTTTTCTTTTCAAGTCAATATGAAATAATGTTCGTTATGTTGATTTTAATGGTTGTTTTATCATTGTTAAGTTTGTTTTTGAATATTTAATGGTTGTTTTATTGTTATTAAGCTTTTAGTTTGTTCTTTTGTACTTTAGTTTTGGACAAACCTATGGCCTATGGGTAGAGATTTGAAGATGTGGAGTTTATGAACTTGTGGGTTTGACTTTCTTTGAGATATTTTTATGTTTTTCCCATGTTATATCTTTTTTTTGTTCCTTCTATGTTTCCTTTTTTATTTTTTTTCTAAATTTCCTATATTTTTCTACTTTTTCTCCCATATTTTCCCTACTTTTTCTCTTTTATTGTATTTCCTTTTTGTAATTGTGTGACTATTTTGGGTAAATCAAAAGGGTGAGGTTGTTTGGCTTGCCCAAAAGCATGACAAAGTATGCTAAATATATTAAAGTCACGTATTTAAAAAAGGAAATGTATGGCACAGGCATACTAAGAGCTTATGAGTTACCTCCATTGAGTGTGATTATGTTGAAGAGCATGAAACCATGCTATGATACCATGAGGAATATGAAAGAAAACAAGAAATGGGACTGCCCACATGCCTTTGAGGAAAGAACACAAGAAGAAGACATGGGGGATGCATATCACACGACCTGCACGTTCATAATATATCTTTTATATAAAGGTTATACACTTTAGGGTTATAAGTGAAATTCCAGTTATATCCATAGTAAATTTCAATATTGTACCATATCTCAAATGTGTACATCATCATCATCCATTCCGAGCTATGAAGGGCCACATCCTCAGCCAACAGGGAATGCCTTAGCATGAGTATGTAATGCTGGATCAAGATTCACAATAGGGAGGTGGTAAACGTTTACACGGGCTGCCAACCTAACACAAACCTCCTTTCTCACCTAGGCTTGGGACTGGTAATGGTGGAGTTATCTCAAATATGTGCAGAATTAAGGAAATACCCTCAAACGGTAATATGCCATCCTTGATAGGAAGAATGTTGAAGTGTTTAAGACTTTGTTTTGGAAGTTGGACTAGATCAACCTATCAGACCAGGAAATATGCATAATACTGGTCCAATCCAAGTAATAATATATAATTACTGGCCAGTCCTATTTTTTAAAGCAACTCAAATCCTTTTATTAATCTTGGGAACAGGGTATTATATAAAATGTTCATATATCATCAACGCATGATTGGAGCAGAACATTGCGGAAAAATGTGGACAGGTCAAGTTTTCATATACCTGCCTGTTTAGGAATAGCATAAAAAGGTACAAATATCATAAACATAGCTGCGAATAGCAACCCCATGTCCTTATATATCGAATATATAACGGTTTAAATAATCTCTTTTTAGAAATCTATTTGATAAATGTCTCTGTAGTATTTAGTACTTTTGAACTTTTTCTTGATCTTTTCTCTGTTAGAAGTTTGTTATTATTTTGCTATTAATCATATTTTTATTTCTATAATTAAATGTCAGAATGGTAGTATCACCTAATCATCTACTTTTTTGGTTCAACAACTGGTTCACTGTTTGGAGCCTCAGTTCAAAATTTAAGTCTAATCCAGTAACATCAGGATTCTTTCGTTCATTCTCATAAAATGAATCCCCGTACTTCTACAAATATTCATCAAATAGTTTTTGTGTGCAAACCAAAATGGAGTTTTGAAAAATGATTATTGTGATGATGTTCGAGATGGGGCACTCCCAAACAATAGATAATTGAAAGTATTTAATCCGTTGTTCTTGACAAAATAATAGTTCTTATTTCCAATGTCTGAAATTGTTCTCATTTCAAGCCAATCTTCTAGATATTGTTGCTAGAATTTTGCTTTTCTTTGTTTGAAAGGATTATGTAGGGCATTAATATTTTCAAAATATTTTTTAATACAATGATTTCAGTTAGCAAGAGTTGCATGTAGTATTTACTTTGATTTAGCATTCAATGCATATATAGTCATTATCAAAAAAAATTTGTGGGTTAGATGATTGGATACTCTGAAAAGAAAAAAGTGTTAGATGATCCAATTTCCGTACGTAATATTATAGCATTTTCTGTGTTTTTGTACATAATATAGCATTTTCTGTGTTTTTGTACATATTTGAAGTTATTAGATTGCATTTGTTCGCATGGACAAAAATATTCAAATCCACGCAAAAACTCTCGTCACCTATAAGTCTTTGCTCTTCAAAATCTTTCTTGTTTTCTTACAGTAATGAAGTCTTTGCTGTTCAAAATCTTTCTTGTTTTCTTACAGTAATGATTTACATAGTACTGTTTGGGATCCCAGGATGTTGTTCCCTTGGTGATTCCTGATGCAAAATCATAATCTGCTCTCTTCTCCATTGATGATGAACCAATTTTTTCCATACTCATACAATCTCTGAAGGAACAGATTACAATTAACAACAAAAGAAACCGTTCTTATATTTTCTGTTTTTTTAAATGTATTTCTAAATGGGCCTCTTATTTCGCTTTAAGATTTACATTTCATTCACCAGTTCTTGTAGGTTTTCAATTTGTTCCAAGTCTTATCATAAGGCTAAACTACATTTCTCACAGTTTTGATGTGTTTCTTAATGGAGATATTCTTAAATCAAATGTTGAGCCGAGTGACATATCCCATGTTTGTAGATGGTGATCATGATTTTCTTCGTTAGTGATTTCTAACTTCTCAAAATCGTTGAATTAACCTCTCATGTGACTGGGTGGGGAGCAACCTAGGTCAGAAGAATCTGGGTCTCAACATTCAGAATCCATTGCAAGTAACCCAACTACAATTTTCTTCAGTTAAGAGTTGAGCGCACAAACTTTTATGCAACCTAATCTAATTTTAAGTATGACAACCTATATACAGGTTAAAGAGTTCTCATTGATTGGATTGGTTGTTGGTTACCCTCTAGCTCTGCAAGGGACTGCAAATCCGCAGGTACAATTCACTTGTGGTTGGAATTAGGAGTGTGGCAAGACTTTGTAATTTTTTTTCTTCAGTACAGTTTGTTTTTGGGTTTAAATAGGCAGTGCAAGTAAAGGTTTTTGTGGAGGAGCTCCACAGGACGGGGCAGCTCGATGGTTTGAGCTACACATACTGGGATGAGCGATTTACATCAAAGGTGAACAGCCCAGTTTTGAACTTTCTGTGGCGAGGTGATATCAAAATGGTACTGAACAAATGTTTTTGTCTTTCAGTCTGTTGAAGCTCTCCTGAAGCCTTTGGACATGCACCCAGTGCAGTTTAAAACTATCGTAGACAAGTTTGCTGCAGTAGGAATACTTCAGGTCGGTCTCTCTCTCAATATAT